CTGCGGTGGACGACCACTCGCGGTTCTGCAAGGCAGGCAGCGACCTCGCCGATCATCATGCCAAGCTCGGGGCGCTAGCTCGCGGGAGGCCGAGCCCCGATCAGACCGAGTTGTTCGATCGAGCCCTCTCGATCGCCAGGAAAGTTTGTGCGCTCGCTGCCAGATTGCTCCAGCTGTGGCCAGCGCGTGACCTCTCGCAGGCCATGCGTGAGCAGCGGGGGCCTGTCGTGCCCGTTCCCAAGGTCCGCCATTCCTGGGTGTGGAGGAACGAATTCTGGCAGTGCAAGCAGTATCTGAGGGTCGCTAGGTCTTGTTGACCCCCAACAGTATCTGCACCACGACCCACAATCTTTATGACACGACGCTCATAGAGCTTGGCCACAACGTCGTCGGTCTTTCTTGATCAGACGGCAGTGCTCCTTGCGTCTGTCTGAATTGCAAGGCTTTCTCGACAAGGGGGATATTTGCGGTATTTGAGCCTGAAGTGCAAAGTCAAACCGCGCTGCCCTAGGTCGTCACAACATTGGTGGAACCGTACCACTGCTGGTCGGCACCCGAAGAGCGACGATATTTGGCTCGACGTGGATGCTGTCAACGTGGTTCGGCTATTTGATTGACGCCCGACGAGTGCCCAGTCCCTTGGTCTAGGCCACGGGGGCATGGCCCCGTCGTGTGGCTTGCGCTGAATGCTGGCAGCCCAGCGTGCGCGGACGTCTCCTGCGCTGGCCGTGTCTCAAGCGTCGGACTCGACGACAGCCTGGCTTGCCACCAGGAGGATTGCGAAGAATCGTGGCAGAGCAGCGCAGCGGCAAAATCTTGGGGGCCTCTTTGGAGCCTCTTGGGGGCCTCCTTTGCCTTCGGAGGCCGTGCTGGACCCTTCCTAGTGCAGTCGTAGGTCCTTCTCTCGGCGCGGTAGGGCCGTCTTGGAAGTCTCTGGGGCCGTCTTGGGGGCGTCTCGGGGGCTTTTCGGGCTGTCTTCCCAGGCCCCCTCGCGTCGTGAACACATCGCGACGGGAGGTTTTTCGTGATTGTCGGCCTCCGGGGGCTCTTGCCGGGCCTTGGGGCCGTCAAAAAAGATTCGGGATGAAAAGCTGGCCCCGGGGAAGGAGTCGCGCGACCTCTGGGGGTCGACGTTGCGAAAAATTCACGACGTCGGGGGTCTGGGTTGGGGCCCTTTTGGGCCGTTTTGCAAGCCTCTTGGGGGCCTCCTGGCCCGTTTTGGGGGCCCACTGGCCCGTCGTGGTCCGTTGGAAGCCCGGAAATGCGGGAACGCTAAAATCATTGAAGCACCTCAGGACGAACAAGGATTTTGGCCTCCAGGAAGACCTCTTGGAGCCCACTTGGGGCGTTGTAGGGGCCTCTTGGGCCATCTTGGGGGCATCTAAGACCGCCTTGGGGACATCTTGGCCGTCTTGCAGGCGTCTCGGGGCGCCTTGGAGGCCATCTTGAGTCATCCTGGCCGTCTTGGAGGCATTTTGGAGGCGTCTTGGGCCATCTTGGCCGTCTTGGAGGCGATCTGGGCAATGATGGTTGAATTTTCCATGTCTTTCCGGGTGGCCGGCGGGCTGAAGTTCCAGGGGGAGTTCTTTAGACAAGGACGACGACGTTGCAGACATTTAGCACGCCGTGCACCTTTATGGCAAGACCACGGGGGGCGGGGGATCTAGAGGCATTCGGCCCATCCCGTTACCGTGCGTGAGTCGTGGGCGAGAGGACAGGAGACCTTGTAGAACCCCTTTGAGGTCTCGTGGGCTGGTCCCTCTCGGGATCTTCCTGGGTCTCTTTTAGGGGCCTACTGGAGGTCTCTGGGGGCCTCTTGGGTTGTTCTTGTGGACCCACTGGCGGTCTCTTGAGACAGAGTCGCCGACAACGTAGGCTAAACTCATACAACACCTAAGTCGTTTGGACGACTTTGGCCCCAAGGGCCGGCCGTCGCCCCAGGAACTCCACTGCGGCCCAAGAGGCGCCCGAGAGCGGGCCGGGACGGGCCGCTGGGGGCATCGTTCTGCCACGGCGGAAGCGTGGAATCCCAGCCACGCTACGTGGGCCTCCGAGGAAGTCGCGCGGGGATCCCCGGGAGCGCGGAGAGCGCCCGGGAGATGCCAGCTGTGTTCTGAGTCTGAGGGTTTGGGTCCTCGTCCAATTTTTCCACCTAGTCCATCAATGCAGAAAGCCCGCAGAGATTTGAGGACGCCCCACAGTGCATACGGCACGGTGGTGGATAGTTGGAGAGGTGGGAGAGGAAGGAGCACATCAGAACTGGCTCAAGCGCGCTCCTACCCCTCGCCCTCCCGTTGTGCTGCGCTCCTGCTTCCAAGTCGTTCTGCGTCCTATGCTAGCGCCTCTGCGAGGTGGGCGGCAAGCGGCATCACGAATGGTCTTGTGTAGCTTCCGGAGAAGTGGCGCGATGCCCGAGTGCAAACGACGCGTGGCACTACGAGAGGACTCCGAGGCAGTCGCCCGCGACGGCGGCGCTGCTGTCGGTGCACCCTGTCTCCGACTCTCGCGAAGACGGCCACTGAAAGAGGAAGCGGAAGGAGAGGACGGGGAAGGAGGATGAGGATGAGGAGGAAGATGAGGAAGGGGGGAATGCCCCCAAGGGGCGTCAGGGGCGCGCGCGGCATGCCCCCCCCCTCCCCTCCCCCTCCGTCGTCCGGGATATCAACCTCGCCTCCCCGTCCTTTCTGGGTGTCCGCGCGCGCGCGCGCGCGCGTGTGTGTGTGTGTGTGTGTGTGTGTGTGTGTGTGTGTGTGTGTGTGTGTGTGTGTGTGAATGTGTGTGTGTGTGTGTGAATGTGTGTGTGTGTGTGTGTGTGTGAATGTGTGTGTGTGTGTGTGTGTGTATGTGTGCCCCCTCATTTCCGCTCGTTCGCCGTGCGCTGTGGCGCGCGTATGTGCGCACGCGTGCGCACGTTCCGTCGGCCGCGACCGCGGCGGGCGTCCTGGTCGGGCTTCAGCGGATAGATCTGCGTCCGCCGCCTTTGCGCGAGGAAGGGATTAAGAGGAGGGGCATATGGAGACTTGCTGCAGCAGCAGCAGCAGCAGCAGCAGCAGCAGCAGCGCGGAGCCGTCCAGAGGAGGCGGAGAAGGAGGGCGAGGAGAAGGCGGAGGATGAGGAAGAGGAGGGTGGAGAAGGAGGAGGAGGAGGAGGAGGATAAGGAGGAAGGAGGAAGAGGGAGGAGGAAGGAGAAGGAGGAGGAGGAGGAGGAGGAGGAGGAGGAGGAGGAGGAGGAAGGAGGAAGGAGAGGAGGAAGGAGGGGGGAGAGGAGGAGGAAGGAAGAGGAGGAGGAGGAGGAGGAGGAGGAGGAGGAGGAGGAGGAGGAGGAGGAGGAGGAGGAGGAGGACAAGGAAGGAAGAAAGGAAGGACGGAAGGAAGGAAGGAGGGACAAAGGGAGGGAAAGGGAGGGGGGCATGGAACCTAGCAGCAGCAGCGGCAGCTCCGCACAGCGCGGTGCGCCGGGCCGCGTCCCGCCCGCCCGCCGCGCACTGCCCAGCCAGAGCGGTAGCGGGGCGCCGCGCGTCGTGGAGCGGCTGGGCGCCCGCGGGGCAGGGGCCGCGCGGGCGGCGTGGAGGGCCCTCCTCCTCCTCCTCCTCCTCCTCCTCCTCCTCCTCCTCCCCCTCCTCCTCCTCCACCTCCCTCCTCCCTCCTCCCTTTTCCTCCTCCTCCTCCTCCTCCTCCTCCCCCTTCTCCTCCTCTTCCTCATCCTTCTTCTCCTCGCGGCCTCGCTCGCTGCCCAGACCCATGACCCGAGGTGCGGGGGCCCAGAGATCCCTCGTATTGAACAACATCAGGGCGGAGGTTTCCTGCCGTTTGCATCCTCCATGGGGGCCCCCGCTGGGCCCCTGGGACCGTCGGGCAGCGGCTCGGGACGACGAAGCACCGGTCCTGGGGAAAAGGGGTGTCGAGGCTTCCGGGGGCCCCGCACGGAGAGCATCACCACGTCGGCTCTCCTGGAGCGCGCCGCCTCGCAGGGGGTCAGCTCGGGGCGCCGAGTGCGCAGGGCTGCCCCAGCGCTGCCCACTGCGCGCCGGGCCGAGCCCCGCCGCGCCGCGCCGCGCTGCCCGCGGAGCGGCAGCGCCGCGGCGGCAGCGGCAGGGCGCGGCCTCGCGGGCGCTCCAGCGCCGGAGGGGGGGGGGGGGGGGCTGGCCGGCCAAACGCAGGGTGATGACTACGGTGTGTGTGTGTGTGTGTGTGTGTGTGTGTGTTCCGAGGCTTTGCCTCCTCTCGGCCTCGCTCTGAGGCTCCGCCGCTTCCTCCCTCCTCTTCTCTGCCTCATTCAAGCTTCGCGCGGCCCGCTTAGCTTCGACCGGAAGAGGTGCGCTCTCGACCCGCGGATCAAAAAGTGTGTGCGTGTGTGCGTGTGCGCGCGTGTGTGCGTTTGTGGATCTCATGGCGGGGGCCACGTTGGTTCCCTGGGTTTCTTGGCCCCCTCTCCCGATGCCGGCGCGTCTCCGTGTCCCCCCCCCTCTGGGCCGCGCGCGTTCCCCGAGGTAGGATTTGCGAGCCCCCCTCTTGGACGCTCCCCTTTTGGACGCCGCCGATGACAGGGGGGGAGGAGCACGGAGGTGGTGAGCGACTGAGCCCCAGAGGGAGGCAGGGGGCGGGGCAGGAGGAGGGAACGCTCCCCTTCCTGGCCCCGCCCTCCACACCCTCCAGTCTCGCTATCCTCTCCCTTGCCTCCCTCCCTCAGTGTCGCCCCCCCCCCCCCCCTTCTCCCTCTGTTCCCGTGTTCCCCTTCTTCCCTGCCTCCTCCCTATATATATATATATATATATATACCCTCCTCCTTCCTCCCCCCCCTTTCGCCGCCAGGCAGGGCGTCGTATAAATACTGCCAAGGCTGCTCTCATAGCGGATCGCTGCACACTTGTGGCCCAAGTGGGCCCCAGACGGCTCTGAGGAGCACGACGTTCCTTTCCGCCGAGTCCATCCGACCCCCCGCCCCATTCCTCCCCCTTCTTGCCCGCGTCCGCCGGCTCAGTGCCCCCGCCCTTTCCGAGGAGTGGGGGAGCGGCGACATGAAGGTCGGCTGGGGCCGCGTGGGCCTCGGCGAGATCCCCGGGCTCTTCCTGCTGCAGATGTGGTACTTCTTCAACTGGTGGGCGGTCAAGGAGGTCGCAGCCCGCCGCGAGCGAGAGCGGGAGGAGAGGATGAGGACGATGACGGGGACAGGGACGGGGTTTGGGGAGGGGGGTGCAGGACTGAGGGGAGGTGGAGGAGGAGGGGAAGGTGCACGGCGACAGGCATCGCCTCTTACAGCCGTTAGCAGCAGCAGCAGCAGCAGCAGCAGCAGCAGCAGCAGCAGCAGCAGCAGCAGCAGCAGCAGGAGGGGAAGGAGGAGGAGGAGGAGCAGGAGGAGGAGCAGGAGGAGCAGGGGGAGGAGGAGGAGGACCGTCAGGGGGCCAGCTACCGATCGGCTTATCTCAAAGTTTCCTTGGGGCGGTGCAGCAAGATCCTGAGCCGGCACGTGGCAGCCCGGGAGAGGAGCCCGGGCAGCGGTCGCTGTTTCTGCACGGCCCTTTTACGGACACACCACCGGCGGAGTTTGGCGGATCCAGGTTCCAGCTTGTTCGGCTGACGTTCGTGTCTCGGCGGCTGTCACTCCGTCGGGGGACCTCAAACAGTGCCATGAGCATGTCGAGCACGAGGTCCTGCAGCGGGAGGCGGCCCTGATGGGCTACCATGCCTTCGCCCTCTGGGCGGCTTTGCACACGTACCTTTGGCCCAGTAGGTCTGCTCAGAGATGGCGCTGCATCTGACTTTATTTTTTCCGACAGGACAGGTGGCACGCAGTTCGACAGCCACCTATGAGGTGAAATGCTTGATGATCACAGGAGCTCAGTAGGTATTGCCTCAGTGCCAGGACTGCGACATGGGTATTTTCGCGGATGACGTGGCTTTGAACGTGATATCCGGGACCCAGGACGAGTGCGTCAGGCCTAGTTCGCTCTTCCAGGACAGACAGCAACTAATTTTTGCCCTGGGAAAGTGATGTACTACTGCCAACTCCCCTGGGTTACTCTGCAAGTCTCAGGAAGTTCTCAGACGGTGGCCTGGAGCTTCTGAGCCTACTGTCAAGTGGCTGGGTACTGACCTTTCTGCAGGACGAAGGCCAATGATGACCAAAGGCTCCCGAAGGACCCGCACGCGCAGGTTGAATGCTACCCTCAGGAGGCTCCACAAGATCAAGGCCATGAGGGTCTCCAAGGGCTCTTGTGCGGCATCCTCCCGTCACCTAGTCCAGCCAGGACGTCTCGGGCAACCATCCTCGTGACCTTGCTCGTCGCAGGCCAACGGGTGCGAGGACCTTGGGCTTGTCCGGCGCGGGGAGCCACCCGGAGCCCCGCCAGAGACCCTCTGAGGCAAGCCTCCGCGGCCTCCGGTACAGGATTCGGCCTGACCTAAGAGGATGGAAACATAAGGAACGAAGCCCCTTTTTTCCAAGTAAGTCTACGAAGTCCGAAGTAACGGACCAGCGCGTCCCACATCTGCAGGAACACCAGGGGGGCTCGCCGCCAAAAAAGGCAGCGGAACGCCTGCAACCCAAAGGAGCGACCGAGCCCCTCTGGAATAAGTAGGTGTTCCTTATCCAAGCCCGGTCCTGGACGCCACAGAGCCCCTGTGGAGAACCGTCGACGGCCTGGTCCCCAGGCTGCCTCCGTCGGGCCACCCCGGCCGTGCTGCAGGAGCTGCATGGCCATCGCCCATCGGGTCGGGCGGCAACGTCGCGCGGTCACGGTGCTTCTCTTTAGGGGGCCACATGCGGACCCTACCCCTACCCCCCACGATATCTGAGGGGGAGGGTGGGGTTCACTTCGCTCGTGAGCTCCCGAACGAAGTGAACCCCACCCTCCCCCTCAGAAATCGTGGGGGGTAGGGGTAGGGTTCGCATGTGGCCCCCTTTTCTTCCCAGGAGCGAAGGGAGGACGTGCACGTACATGAATCCACGCCAGTTTCGGGAGTTAGCATGGCGCGAGTGTTCGTATCACGCGGCGGGTCTCGCGGGTCAGGGGGCCGTGCTCATGTGCACAGCTGGGCGCGCACGTCCTCTGTGGGTGTCCTATCTCTGGCTTGCCGAAGCAGGCTGGGCTCATCATTCGACTGGCATGTTACGGCTGAGGGACGGACCCCTTGACCGAGCAGTCGCCGAGCCAGATCGCCAGGCTTTTTTGAGAGTGACCTTCGGGAGGCCTGTTTGGATCGTTCGGTGAACCAGCTTTTGGAAGGTCACGTTTCGGAGGAAGCGAGGGCTAGTCGCGACCAGGGGAGGAGGCGATGGCTATTCGCGACTAGGGGGTCTGGGCCAAGGGAGTTGCTAAGATCTACAACAGCTCTAGGGTGCCCGGTAACTCAGAGTAGCTGGTCCGCGCCTCGTCTTGCTTCATGCCTGCCCACAGCTGCTAGACTACATTCCTGGGGCTACAGGACTGGGGCTCTCCGCCAGTACTGCCGCCCGCGCGGCGCAGCTTGGCATCGAGTTCGGTGCTGCCTGCATTTGGCAGGTCTGCGCGCTGAGATGCTAGACCTGAGAGGTCGAGGCTGCGCTCGAGGCCAGCCCCGAGTCATTCTATCTACGGTAAGGTCTGGGTGGCGCGCGCCCCATCGCCGAGGCTGTGCCGGGCAGAGAGGAATGCCCGCAGTACACGGACCACGGGTTTGACAACTGTGCCCTATTCGAGTTCTCGGGGTGCAGCAGATTCTTCGTGGACCGTATCTGCTTTCATCCTGAGTGCGACGTCATGACCCGCGCGGGCTCGGGCGTAGCGCAGATCGGCCCAGGAGGCCAGTTCATCTCGGGCATCTTCGGGGGCGTTCCTGGATACGGGCGTTACGAGCAGACTGGCTTCATTAGGAAAACACCATGGGTTCCTCATGGCACTCAACGCTGCGGAGTAGAACTCCGAGCAGCATTTTGACATCATGGCTGACTGCGCAGCCCTGATCAAAGGCGCTGGTGAGATAGCCTCCTGGGACGGCAGATCGGTTTGTGGCGAACACTGGAAGTACATCAGATCCATCCCTGTCCGACACCGTGACCAAGGTCAAAGCATACGGTTCAGAGGACGCTGCTGAGAGTGAGGCCCTCAAGATTTATTCCGAGGCAGTGCATGGGCCGACTGGTCAGCACAGCGTGGCGTCAAGCATGACCAGCTTGACCCGAACGATTCGGAAGTTACCCAGCGGGCCCGTGGTTTGTGCAAAGCTGCTGTTTGGGCCTCCGCCCGTATGTTGGCCCTCTGGCCCACAGCGCGTGAGCTCTTCGGGGGGCTCGAGGAAGTCCCCAGGGCCTTCCTTCTCCGTCGACCATGCAGAGGCAGTGTCTCACATGGGACGGCCCCCGCTGGCGATGTGTGCACTGTGCCAAATGTTTCCGTAGGCCTGCCAGGGCCGTTGGGCTTGCGGGGCCTTTCCCCCCTTTATGGGGGCTCTACTGAGCTCCGTGCTGGCCAGCGCCCACCTAGTTCGGCGCACGCACTCTGAAGCACCGCTCGCCTGTCCTGATGTGTAATGGATGCGGAAGTTTGACGCACGGTCACAGGGCACGGCGCGCCTTGTTGGCCCCTTGTGCCACCCCCGAGCCTCTAAACAGCTTGCCCTCCTGCGCAATCGCAAGATATCTTGGCCCCGTGGGGTAGTCATCCTCACGCCCCGGCCCCGTGCTGGGGCAGCGTAGGCATGGGCGGCCTTAGCGATCCGCCTCCCTTTATACTTGAGTTGTTCGGCCTCTCCCTCTCATCGAACGGCTTCGGTCGTGCTGGTCGCTGCTGCCAAAAAAGGGCCAGGGCGGGCGAGCGAGCCACCAGCAGCCGCGAGGCAGCTGGGCCGGGCGCGCCTGCTCGGGCGCGACCGCGGGGCGCGGGGCCGCCCGCCGTCCGCTCCACAGGCCTCCACTCCTTACCAGCCTCGAACTTATCCCTATCCCTATCCCTAAGATTGACACGCCAAAAGGCGATGACAATCTTAGGGATCCGCCCTCAAAAAAGAAGGGAACCCCTAAGATTGGCATCGTGATGAGGAGATGCCCAGCACAGGGATGGGGATATGTTCCAGGGTGGTCAACTCCCGAGGAGGGGGGGGGTCCTCTGCGGGCACCCGCGGGCGCCTCTGCGCACGGGAGGCCCCCGCGCTCCGCATCTCGGGGAGGGCCGCGGGGGGCAGCGGGGGGCCCGCACCGGAGGCCCCGCGCTCCGCATCTCGGGGAGGGCCGCGGGGGGCCACGGGTCTCGCCCCGGGGCCCCCCCGCCCGGCACCCCCCCCCCGCCCGCGGCCTCAATGGGGCCCGGCACAGGACGACTGCCGCGGCGGCCTCGGCGGCGCGGCGGGCCCGTCCGTCTCGGGCGGCGCTTCTCGCGCCCATCGTCGCGAGGGCCAGCAGCGTCGCAGTAACGCCACGGACCTCCAACGCCGCTGCAGGGCCAGTTCGTCTGGGAGGGGGAGGGGGAGGAGGAGGAGGAGGAGGAGGAGGAGGAGGAGAGGAGGAGGAGGAGGAGGAGGAGGAGGAGGAGGAGGAGGAGGAGGGGAGGAGGAGAGGAGGAGGAGGAGGGAGGAGGAAGGAGGAGGAGGAGGAGGAGGAGGAAGAAGAGGATGATGAGGAGGAGGAGGAGGAGGCGGACGAGGGAGCGGGATGGGGGAGGGGAGGAAGGAATGGTGGAAGAGCTCGGGGCGGGAGGGGATGATCATCTGAGAGCGGGTGGCCTGTCCCAGCGTCAAGCTGGATCCCGAAAAACGAAGGCGATGATTGGACGCCGCACCTTCTCCGTGTCGGTCCTGGGCGCTTCGGCGCGAACCCTTACCGCTGGCCCGCCTCGCACGGGCTGATTCGAGCTCCGTAGCCTGTGAGAGAGAGGTGGTGCAGTGTGCTGGCGTTGTGATCCACATCTCGGCGAAACGGCTTGCGAGCGCCCCGGACCCCTGCCATGTCGCGTATGACCAGCCATCTCCTGCCAGCCTGCACGCGCTGATCCCAGCGTTTTAGCTGAGTATTTATGGTTCACGATGTTCCTCGAGCGCCGGCAACGTCCGACTACTCCTTGCTGTCGCGCACCGACATTCGTTCCTGCAGCTGCCTGGCTTCTCGCACGAGCGGACACCATCACGGTAGTTGATAATCTTGTCCTTGCGTCAACCATTCGGACATTGCTTCCGTCATTTCACACCGGCAGACCCGCTTGCCGCTAGCACGAGACGGTCCCAGCATTGTAGCAGATGGTACGTTGGTTCTGTTCATTTGACGCGCACCGACAACCAGTGCTGCCACTACCTGCTGTCCCGTACTGGCAAGTCCTGCTGCCATTGCGCGTGTTTGGCCCAAGTAGACCGCAGCATTTTGGTTATATTGGTTGGTTCCTGCTTTGCCACCGGGCACTGTCAGCCACCGCTGTCGCTGCTTGTCTTCTCGCACCGGCAGACTATGCTGTCAAGGCGAGCCCACATGCAAGAGCTGACCCCAACATTGTATAGGATGATGGCTTGCCCCTGCATCACAATCAGGCTGCGACAGCTGCTGCTGCCGTTGCTTGGTTATCGCACCCGCGGACCCTGCTTCCACTGCTTGTCTGATGTTCTCGCACGAGATGGCCCGAGCATTGTAGCTGATGGTGATTTCCACCTGCTTCGCCATCGGGCACCGACATAAGTCACTGACGTTGCCTGGTTTCTCGCACCCGCAGGCCCTGCTGTGTCTGCGTGCCTTCGTTCGCTTGCTGGCCCCAGCATTGTAACTGACGGTGGCTTGCTCGTCAGGCGAGGAGCAGACAGGGCAACACAGACATGACGACCACGAGGAGGAGGGTAAATAAGGTGATGATGCTGATGATGATGTTGATGTTGATGATGATCATGATGCTGATGTTGACGCTGATGCCGATGCTAATGATTCTGATTCCGAAGACGACGATACTGCTACTGATGATGCTGTTCATGATAATGATAATGATGATGCTGACGATGGTGGTGATGATGCGGATGATACTGATGGTGATGATGATGGTGACGATGATGACGAGGATGATGGTGGTGGTGATGATGTGAATTGTGATACTAAGTCTAATGTTACTGATGATGATGACGATGATTATCATGCTGTTGATGTTGATGATGATGCTGATGATGATGTTGATGAGCATGCTGCTGATGAGGATGGCGATGACATGATGATGGTGATGATGACGATGATGATGATGATGATGATGATGATGATGATGATGTTGGTCATGATGCTCATGCTGATGCTGAGGCGGAAGACAACCAGGCGTAGGAAGAAGGTACATCCGATAACGATGATGCTGGTGATGGTGATGATATTGTTGATGATGATGCTGATGATGATGCTGATGCAGATGGTCATGTTGCTGACGAGGATGGTGATGATGATGACGACGACGGCGACGACGATGGCAGTGATGATGGTGATGATGGTGATGATGAAGATGATGGTGATGGTGATTAGTATGCTGATGACGATGATGATGATGATGATGATCATGACGATGATGATGCTAACGACGATGGTGGTGGTAGTGGCGGTGATGTTGATAAGGATCATGATGGTGATGAAGTGGCGGAGGATGATGAGGAACCTGCTGAAGAGGAGAACATGCGCATTGAAGTGGGTGATGGTAATGATGATGCTGTTGATGGTGATGGTGATGATGACGATGCTGATGCTGATGCTGATGCTGATGATGCTGCTGATGGTGATGATGACGATGCTGATGATGCGGATGATGATGCTGATGATGCTGTTAGTAATGGTGATGTTGTTGCTGCTGATGATGATGACGACGATACAGATGATGATGTTGCTGATGAGGATGGTGATGTTCATGACGCGACGACAGCGACGATGATGGCGGTGATGATGGTGATGCTGATGATGATACTGATGATGATGCTGCTGATGATGATGATGATGATGATTGTGAAGGGGGTTATCATTTGGATGACATGGGGATGATGAAGGTGACGATGATGATGATGATGATGATGATGATGATGATGATGATGATGATGATGATGGTGACGATAAGGGTGAGGGTGATGGTGACGACGATAGTGGTGGTAGTGGCGGTGATGCTGATGAGGATCATGATGGTGATGAAGTGGCGGAGGATGATGAGGAACCTGCTGACGAGGAGAACATGCGCATTGAGGTGGGTGATTGTGATGATGATGCTGATGACGATTATGCGAATGATGATGAAGCTGATGCTGATGCTGATGATGCTGCTGATGGTGATGATGACGATGATGATGCTGATGATGAGGCTGATGATGATGCTGATGGTGATGGTGATGATGCTGGTGATGGGCGGACGAGGAGTTCTAGCAGAAGACATCGGAAGGACGAGGAGGATAATGATTTGGGAGGAGTGCAGGCGGAGGAATGAAATGGATTCTGAGTGTAGATGGGGTGCAGCTGAGGGCAGGGTCAGCGATTGTCGCCGCGAATGGCAGAACCCAGGCGGGAGGCGGGCGCGCGAGTCGAGCAGAGAGCAGCTGTGAGCAGTGGGGCCGAGAGAGCAGCAGGGCGGAGAGCAGCAGGCGGCGGACGCAGAGCAGAGAGGCAGAGAGGGAGAGAGGGAGAGACAGCGAGACAGCGAGAGAGAGAGCGAGAGCGACAGAGAGAGAGAGAGAGTCTTTCTCCATTCTCGCGGAGTCTTGCTCCATTCTTGCGGAGCGATTGGACCGTGCCGTGTTGGACACATCTTGCAAAGCAGTGCGCGTGGACAGGCTCACGGTGGAGCAGGAATCGTGCTTGAGGCTGTCTGCAAAACTCGGTGGGTGCGACATGGTCAGCTGCGCTTCGAAAGCGTTGTTCTCCCACCTCGCCGGGGCGGTTCAGTACTTGCCTGCAGTGGCGCGGAGGCTCCTGGATCTCGGCTTTGAGGAGGATCGCGTCGCGGGGGTCGTGGACCTGGGCGGCGTTGCCCACTGCCTGGACGCTCTGGCCCAGCGCGGGGTGCACGTGCGGCCCGACGGCGAGGTGGTCACCGGGGCCCCGCCCGGGAGCAGCATGGCGCCATCTACGTTGCTCTGGGGCCAGGCTCGCAAGATACACGGGGCACTTCTGGAGGCGCTGCAGGGCACCTTGCACGAGACTCTTCGCGCCCGCTACTCCGGTTCGCAACGGAGTTCGGCGCGCCTGCCCAGCTGCGCCGGTTCTGTGTCCAGCCGGTGGCTCGCCGAGTTCCCGACGTCGTGGTGGCCAGAAATCACGGACGACAAATTCGTGATGGTAGTCAAGTTCAGGCTCGGCTTGCCCGTGTACCCGGCCGGCCTGCAGTGCATGCACGCGAAGGCCAAGGACCAGTCGGACCACTGCGGGAAGAACTTGGATATATATGGCGACCATGCCGTATGCTGCAATACTGGTCCGTATATTTCAATGCGGCATGGTTCGCTGAACGGCATCCTGGCGCAGGCGGGCCGCGACGCCGGGTACTCGGCGCTCCTGGAGCAGACGGTCCCCGAGTTCGGCCTGAAGAAGCGGCGCCGGGACGGCAGGGAGGCTCTGGAAGAAGCCATCTTGGACGTCGAGCTGTTCGGGCATCCGACGGCCCCAGAACGCCTTCTCGACGGCACGGTGCGCCACCCTGGGGCCAGCCACATCCTGCCGGCTGCTGCCGTAACGCCGGGTGCTGCCGCTGCCGAAGGGGTCCGCTGCAAGGAGGACCGGTACCCGGACACGGGCGGCAAGTCCGTGGTCCCTTGCGCAGTGGAGACGTGGGGCCGCATCGACGGCCGCCTGTCCTCCCTGCTGGACGAGCTCGCGGTCCTCGCGTCGCAGCGGCAGCGTGATCGCGGCGTTCTGCCCACACGCTGGGGGGCGCGCTGGCGGACGCTCATCAGCGTCAGGCTGGCCATGGGCGTGGCGCGCGCGCTGCTGGACGCGGCGCCCGTCCAGTGCCGGCCCTGCGGCGCTGTGCGGAGCAGGGCCCCTGGGGCCCGGGCCGTGGGCCAGGCGGGCAGCGCTGGTGCGGCGGCGGCGCCGGGCGGGTAGTCCCCCGCTCTCCCCCTCCTCCTCCGCTTCCTCCTGCCACGTGTGCTTTGTGGGATTCATGCTTATTGTTCGAGAGAGAGAGGGATATATACATATATATATATATAGATACAGAGAGAGAGGGAGAGGAGAGGAGAGGAGAGAGCGAGAGCGAGAGAAAGAGAGAGAGAGAGAGAGAGTTGGGTCCATGGCAAAACGCACAGCACGGCGGGGAGGGGCAGGTCTACCGGTACTGGGGCGCCCCCATCATCCGCGCGACCCTGGAGAGCCTGGACAAGGAGGGAACCACCATCTTTGTAGGCCTGCCGTGGCGCCTCGCCGCCCCACCGTCGCCTTGTCCACAGGGTCCCACACCGTGCCTTCAGTGTTGTGGCTTCGCGGACTCTTCCTCCCTCCTCCTCCTCCTCCTCCTCCTCCTCCTCCTCCTTCACCTCCTCCTTCCTCCCCCCTCCTCCTTCCTCCCCTCCTCCTCCTCCTCCTCCTCCGCCTCCTCCTTCTCCTCCCTGCCCCCTCCCCCTCCTCCTCCTCCTCCTCCTCCTCCTCCTCCTTCTCCTCCCTGCCGCCTCCTCCTCCTCCTCCTCCTCCTCCTCCTCCTCCTCCTCCTCCTCCCCCCCCTCCCCCTCCTCCTCCTCCTCCTCCCCTCCTCCTCCTCCTCCTCCTCCTCCTCCTCCTCCTCCTCCTCCCCTCTCCTCCTCCTCCTCTCCTCTCATCATCATCATCCTCCTCCTAGCCCTTCTCCTCCTCCTCCTCCTCCTCCCCCTCCTCCTCCTCCCTGCCGCCTCCTCCGCCCCCTCCTCTTCTTCCTCCTCCTCCTCCTGCTCCTCCTATTGGGCTGTCGGTGCTCGAATCCCCTGCAGGGCATATCGCCGCGCGACGCCTCGGGCAACATGTGGTTTGGTGGTCCCAGGTCTGCGGAGCAACGGGAGCGAGTGAGCGGCTTGCGCAGGACTTTTATGTTCCAGTGTATCGATCCCCTTCCCCATACCAGATGCTCTTGGACGCAGCTCACAGCGCCTACCCAAGTGACGTGTCCCCGTGCAGATGCAACATGCTCTTCCGCTGCTGTAGATAATATCGTGAGGGGAAGTTTTTGGGTTGGAGTCGGAGGGCATCGCTTGTCCCTGCAAGGCCCTGTTCCCTGAACGGAAGGTTCTTTGCCAGCCTGTATTGGACACGCATTCCATGCTTATCCGCTTGATCGTGCAATGTGTTTCCGTTCGTTGTGTTTCCTTCGTTGCCCTTTCTTGAACGGGTCGAGGCCATGATTCAGACATGATGATGCTGAAGGGTGCGCTGGGGCTGGAGTGGGATACCGCGCCGTACCCACTTAACGTGACGCTGCCAGGCTCCGCTTGGCAGTTCGTGACAGGAAGAAGAGCATATTCATGAGCAGGCCAAAGCAGACGGTACAGCGTTGGCGGTCTTGAAACTGACCCGTAACACCAGCAGCATTTACAGACAGGAGTGGTGTGAACGGGGATGAGAAGAGCAGGATCAGGACGACGATACTGCGTTGGAAGAGGAAAGGAGAGGAGGAGGAGGAGGAGGAGGAGGAGGAGGAGGAGGAGGAGGAGGAGGAGGAGGAGGAGGAGGAGAGGAGGAAAGGAGGAGAGGAACAGGAGGACGAGGAGGAGGAAGGAGGGAGGAGGAGAAGGAGCTAAAGGAGGAGGAGCAGGAGGGGAGGAGCTGAGCAGGAGGAGCAGAAGGAGGAGGAGGAGGAGGAGCTGGAGCAGGAGGAGGAGGAGGGGGAGGAGCAGGAGCAGGAGACGGCGATGGCGGAAGAGGAGGACGACGAGGCAGGGGGCCTCCCGGGTGCAGCACGCGAGGCCGAGGCGAGGGGGCCGGCAGTGCAGGCGCAGGCCGCGGGCGGCAGGGAGCGGCCGGAGCACCTGCGACGAGGGCTGCGGCGGGCACGTCAGACTAAAGGCAGGCCCGCCAGCAGGTGCCCCCGCGGAGAGGCCCTTGCCTCCCCGGGTGGCCCCGGGAGTCCTCCCCCGCCTCCTCCTCCTCCGCCTCCTCCTCCTCCTCCTCCTCCTCCTCCTCCCGCTCCTCCTCCTCCTCCCCTCCTCCTTCTCTCCTCCCTTCCCTCCTCCTCCTCTCCTCCTCCCCCCCTCCCCCTTCTCCTCCTCCCCCTCCTCCTCCTCCTCCTCCTCCTCCTTCTCCTCCTCCTCCTCCTCCTCCTCCTCCTCCTCCTCCTCCTCCTCCTCCTCCTCCTCCTCCTCCCCCTCCTCCGCCCCGGAGCACCCCCCCCCTTTGGGTTTCCGAGAGAGCCCGCTCTCTTCGATCGTGCGCGCCCTGCTGCTGGAACCAAGGGGGGGGGGGGGGCCCTACGGTCAACCCGCATGGTAAGGAGGAGCGGCTCTCCAAGGGTTGCCCTCGCATCCTTCCTCTTCGGGGCGCGAAAACGACCACGGCCACTGCTTTTCTTTTGTTGCCGCCTTCAGCCCGCAGAAACAAAGCAGTGGTGGTGGTCATTTTCGTTGAGCTTGACACCAGGGAACTGACCACAGCCACTGCTTCTTTTTTCCGGCCGGCTGGAAGGCGGCGCAAACAAGAAGCAGTGGCTGTGGTCAGTTTCCCGTCCCGCATCCTTCCTCCTCGGCCCATCCTCGGCCGCTCGCGCGGGCCGCGCCCCCCGCCCGCGGAGCGTCGACGTGGCCTCCCGAGGCGCTTCCAGCCGCACCGTGCGCCGTTATGACTGTGGACGGCCATCAACGGAGAGGAGGCATGTAGCCAAGTAGTTTCCAGATGTCAAAGCACGCTTATATGTAGGTAGTGTATATATATATATGCTATATATGTGTACAATATATCTATATATACACATATATATATATATATATATATATATATATATATATAAAGGCATGCCCTGAGCATGTTAAGCAACATACTTTTCATAGTCTTGGAGTCGGACTGTCAGGGTGTCCATTGTCATGGCGCCCACAGCCCTATGACACAGCGAGACAGGAGCGAGCAGCGCAGGCAAAAGCAGCGCCTTGGCACCGAGGCTCCATGCTGCGCTTCATTCGGGACGGCGACCAGGCCGGCGGCCGCCAGCGTGGACGCCAGCGCTGGTTGCCGCGCTCGCCCTCTGCCGCCGCCGCGGCCCCCGCTCTCCCCCGCCCCTCCTCCCCCGACCCCTCCCCCCCGCTCCCTTCATGCTCCTGCCCCCTCTCGCCTTGACGAGGCCCTCGCCGTTGCCCTCCTCCTCCTCCTCCTCCTCCTCCTCCTCCTCTCCTCCTCCTCCCATTCTCCTCCTCCTCCTCCTCCTCATCGTCCTCCTCCTCCTCTCGCTCGCTCCTCCTCCTCGCCTCTCCTCCTCCTCCTCCTCCTCCTCCTCCTCCTCCTGCTCCTCCTCCCGGCTCCTCCTCGCTCCTCGCTTCTCCTCGAAGGTGTGGGGCCCTTCCAGGGGCTCAGGGTCGGAGGAGTTTCGAGCGCACCCCCCCCGAAACAAGCCGACCGCGCCGTCCTCCTCCTCCTCTCCTTCCCCTCCTCCTCCTCCCTCCTCCTCCTTCTCCTCCTCCTAGCCGTTTTTGGCCCCGACCTCTGCGGCGCCGAGAGGGCGCGGCGGAGCGTTTTGGGCCACCGACTATCTCCACGCGATATCGGCTGGGATCTGACGTGTCGAGTTCGGGAGTGACGATTACGAAAAGTCGGTTGAAGAAAACATGCCCAAAGGAAAGAAGGCCCGTGATCGGCGCAAGGCTCAGGAGCTGGGCCCGCACGGTGATTGGCCGCCCCCCCCCCCCCGTGGATTTGCAAGGAGCCAAGCCGCCCGTGCCGCCGACGAGCCCGTTTTAAGGGCTGCCGCCGTGGCCAGGGCCGAGTCAGCCCAGTTGGCAGCTTTGGAGGCTGCCTCCTCCGCCAGCTGCTGGCGGCAAGCGGCCTGCGAAGGGCGCGGGCAAGGACAAAAGAGAGGACCGCAAAGTGGTGTGCAGTGCTTGCCCACGCTGGGCATAGGTGTCCAAGCTCGAGCAGTACGCCAACACGTGTCTATGTGGAGAGCACTCCACTAAGAAGGCTCCTCCCGCTCAGGCAGACGGCGGCGCTGGCAAGGGCGCTGCAGGTGTGGGCACGGCCATGAAGGGCTAGCTGCTTGAGGTCATCAAGGCGCAACCAGGCAGTGAACAGGCCAAGGCGGCGCGCGGCGCTGGGGAGGCCCCAGTGACGCAGCGCGTCACGGAGTTCACGGCCAAGGCCCAGAGGGCCCAGGTCTCCTTCGACAAGATTCGGGCCCAGCAGGTCCGCCTGACGCTGGAGCTCGAGAAGTGCAAGAGCTCCCTCGCGGAGCCGGCCACGGCGCTGGCTCAGGTGGAGAAGGATCGCGCCGAGGTCTTCAAGACGGTGGTGCCGCCTGCCCCTTCGGCGCCGCCGGCTGGAGCCGGGATCGATCTCAGCTCGATCTTGGGGGCCAAGGGGCCAGATGAGTCCATGTTCACGCTGAACCAGGGCCAAGAGTTCGGCAACGCGGACGGAGTGATGGACGCGGGCGGTTTGGAAGAATTGGTTCGCCGTAAGAAGCTGGTGATGGGCGCGCTCATGAAGACGCTCACAAACACCTTTGGCGGCATGCAGGAGAAGCTGCGAGAGCACCGCGACTCACTTTCCACCATGAAGGAGAAGATTGCGAAGAAGCGTCGCCACACTTCGCCCCCGCCCGCGGCTGCAGACGGGCCTTCACCGCAGGCGGAGAGGGAGGAGCTGCTGCGCGCGACGGCGCTGGCGCTGGGTAGGGCACAGGCGCTGCTCCACCTGCCGTGCTCGAGGCCACGGGCATGGCCCCCGCCAGCAGCGAGGGTGCTGCCAGGCCTGATGCCGTGGCGGAGGCCAGGGTGGAGTCAGTCAAGTCTAAGCTGCAGCAGGACGCCGAGGCCCTTCTGGCCGCGGCGCGGGCGGCGGCGCTGGCGGCCGACTTCGGGTCGGGCCGTTAGTCAGCGGCTCCCCCCTGACCTCGGTGGGTCATCATCTGATGGAGTTTGGGGGGCCGAGCCAGTCCCACCGAGTGCCATGTCAAAATCGGCCTGCCTGAGCGACGCGGGCGGACGCGCCCGCGAGGCCGCGTTGGCGGCGAGCGGCTCTGCTGCTGGCGGTGGCGCTGGCATGGGCGCTGACTCGACGTGCGCGGCGACAGCATCTTCGCGACCGTCGGCTGTTAGGGCGCAAGGCCCAGCCTCCAGGTGCACCCATGAGGTAACCACCGCGAGGGGCTGGGCTCAGTCGCCGAGTTGTTTGCTGGGGCCTGCCCCAAGGAGGAGGAGGAGGAGGAGGAGGAGGAGGAGGAGAAGGAGGAGGAACGGAGGCACGGAGGAGAAAGAGGCGATGATGATGATGATGATGATGATGATGATGATGATGATGATGATGATGATGATGATGATGATGAGATTATGAAGTTGAGGAGGAGGAGAGGAGGAGGAGTAGTAGTAGTAGTAGTAGGTATGGTAGTGTAGTGTTAGTGGTAGTAGTAGTAAGTAGTAGTAGTAGTGTAGTAGTAGTAGTAGTAGTAGTAGTCTAGTAGTAGTAGTAGTAGTAGAGTAGTAGTAGTAGTGTAGTAGGTAAAGTAGTAGTAGTAGTAGTCGTAGTATAGTAAGTAGTAGTAAGTAGTAGTAGTAGTAGCAGTAGTAGTAGTCGTAGTCGTGTCGTAGTCGTAGTCGTAGTCGTAAGTCGTTAGTAGTAGTAGTAGTAGTAGTCAGTAGTAGTAGTAGTAGTAGTAGTAGTAGTAGTCGTAGTCGTATGTCGTAGTCGTAGTCGTAGTAGTCGTAGTCGTAGTAGTAGTAGTAGTAGTAGTAGTAAGTAGCTAGTAGTAGTAGTAGTAAGTCGTAGTAGTAGTAGTAGTAGTAGTAGTAGTAGTAGTAGTAGAGGAGGAGGAGGAGGAGGAGGAGGAGGAGGAGGAGGAGGAGGAGGAGGAGGAGGAGGAGAAGGAGGAGGAGGAGGAGGAGGAGGAGCAGCCGTGCGGCATGGGTGCTCGCTATTCTTCTGCCCCGCTTAGGGTAAGGCGGCGGCGGCCGACGCCCGACACCTCTGCAGGCCGTGCGAGCAAGGCCGCCAGGGGCGGTCTTGCCTCGCCCGCGTTAGGACACGCCCTGTCCCAAGCCACCAGGGGCCCTCCCAGGTAGTGCAGGATGTACTGCAGGGTTTCCCCTCCTCCAGCGGCTCCTTCGGCTCGGATGGCCCCATTTGGTGAGGTTCGCATCGGGCAGTGCGTCCGGGTGCTTTATCTCCTCTGTCCTCCATGCCCGATCCTCGTGCTCCCGTCCACGGGGAGACTGGCCGCACAGGACAGATACTTTGCACCGGTTCGAAAAGACGATGAAGCGAGCACAATTGACGACGACAGCGATGACGCGAGAGGAGGGACGAGGTAAGCTTTGATAGGGCCTGCCGCAAGCGCTGGTGCAGGGACTGGTCCTGGGAGTCAAGCGTGCAGGGCAATTTGAAAGCGCGTCGGAAAGTACAGAACGAACCGTCGGAGCACCTACATAATATCCCGTTGGGCAAAGTGGATGGGGGAGGGATGAGCAAGAGGGGGGTGAGGGAGGTGAGGATGTGAGGCGTGAGAAGGAAGGGTGGGGAAAGGGGAAGAGGGTGGATGGGGAACAGTTCGATGCGTTGGAGGACTGTTTCGCCCGAACCGCTCCGCCAGGGGCAGCTCTGTTGGGGACCGCTTCGCTGGCGCACCGCTTCGCCGGCGGAAAGCCTCGCCTGCGCACCGCTCTCGCCGGCGGACCGCTTCGCAGGTGACCCGCTGCGCATGCCGATGGCTTCGCCCTCGTCCTGCTTCGGCTGCTCGTCCTTGCCCTCGTCCCGTCTCGTGCTCCGCGTCGTCTGCGCCCTCGCCGTCTCCGGCCGCGCCGCGGGCGGTCGCACGAGCGAGTCCTCTCGGACGGCTCGAGCGGGCGGACCGGGCGGGCGGGATTCCAAGCAGGCGTAAGCGAGCTTGCGAACCCTGACAAGCTGGTCGGGCGGACGGACACTTTGACGAGCGGGTTAAGCGGGCGGGCGGGTGGGATATGAGAGGGGGCGGATTGCGAAGCAAGCGAGCGGACGAGCCCTGACGGGCGGGTCGGGAAGGCGGACCCCAGCGGGCGGGCGGGCGGATAGGCCTCAGGTATTGTTTTCTGTTCGGTGAACCCGTGACGTCCAGTACGGGCGGTCGCCCCCCTTCTCCCCCCCTCCCCGTAAGAGCACCACCGAACGTGCGCGGGGGGGGGGGGGCGGGCGGTTCCCTCACAGGCATGGCGCGGTGCTCATAGGCATGTTGTGGTGTTGGCACGCGTGCTGTGATGCTCGCAAGTCTGCGGTGACGCTCGCCTTTCCTCCCCCTCCCTTTCCCCCCTGTAATGGACGCTAGGGGGGGGGGCAATGAACAGACAATCTCCTGACGGGCGGGCCGGGCAGGCGGAGTCTGGTGGGTGGGCGGGCGGGCGGACCCTAGCATACGAACGGGTCGGGCAGGACATGAAAGCTGGCGGATTGTCAAGCAAGCGACAAAGGGACGAACTGTCACTGGTGAGTCGGGTGAGCGGGCTTCAGGGCTTTAGGGGCGGGCCGAGTGGGCCAGACCCTGACGGGCGGGCCGGGCGGGGCGGACTCAACGTGTATTTCGGGCCGGGCGGACCCTGATGGGCGGTTCAGGCGGGTCGTCGGGCGACATTTTCCCGCCTGCTGGCGATGACGTCCGAGGGCCAAGCGGTCAACCGCCAGGAGGCACATGAGGAAGAGGAGGGGGAAGATGAGGACGAGGATGAGGATGAGGATGAGGATGAGGAGGGGGAGGATGATAATGAGGATGAGGATGAGGATGAAAAGGAGGATGAAAAGGAGGAGGAGGAGGAGGAGGAGGAGGAGGAGGAGGAGGAGGAGGAGTGGGAGGAGATGGAAAGAGCGGAAGGAGATAGAGAGGGAGGAGGAGGGAGAGGAGGAGGAGGAGGAGGAGGAGAAGAAGAAGCAGAAGAAGAAAGAGGAGGAGGATGAGGCAGGGAGGAGAAGGAGGAGTAGGAGGAGGAGGAGGACGCAAGGAGGACGCAAGGAAGGAGAGGGAGTTGGAGGAGGAGGAGGAGGAGGAGGAGGAGGGGGAGGAGGAGGGGGAGGAGGAGGAGGAGGAGGAGGAGGAGGCAACAGCAGCCTCAGCCTTCGGCCGCGCGGTGCTGCAGGTCTCGGCCTCGTACGCGTACGTCGGCGACTTCAACAGCACCGCAGGGGAGATGCGGGTGGTGGAAGCCAGGCTCCCCGCCCTGCACCGCCGCAGGACTGTATCGGGCCAGAAGAAAGGGGTGGATTTGGAAAGGGGGGGTACGAAATTTGCTGCATGCAGCTGGTTTCGGCCCCGCCGAGGGGTCCATTCGTCGATACATGGCCGCCTCCCGGCGCCGGGAGGCGCCAGGAAAATCAGCTACGTGAGCTGATTCTCAAGCCCCCCCCTTGCTATCCCTCCCTTTCGCCCGACCCGACTGCAGCGTCCGAAGGCGGGGTATCGATCAGGGCGCACCATGCAGGAGCAGAGGCAGGCGCTCGGAAGAGGGGGCGAGCGGCGTGGAGAAGGGCAGCGGGCAGCGGGGAGGTCCTCGTGGGCGTCTGGTGTCTTCCCGCGTCCATGGGGCGTGCAGTGGCTTTTGCTTTGGTATCGGGTCCTGACCCCCTACGTCCCCATGGGGTCCTGGAGGTCCCCAGAGGCTTGCAGAGGCCCCTGGATGCCCGAGAACGGCGACGGACTCGCAGCAA